TTAACATATAACATTGGTCCAGGAATTAACTAAGTTCCTGACGACCTATTTACCCCTTATTCATCTAGGGTATCACGTGTGCTTTCTCATGGAAAAGATTTATGTCAAATTGAATATTCTATGTAGATGGGGACAGTGATATTTTCCACTAGCACGTCTGGAAATACCTTAAGGTTACAACCCCTCTTATTTTGCAAATGGCCAACTGTTACGTGAGTAGCACATACATCATGAGAATGATAGAATTATTATTTGATGTATATAATGCTACGTTTCTGATTCTGAAACATTGTTTTTTCTACTGTTTCTTTTCTGAGAGCTCTCCAGTAAAGGCGTCGTACTTTGTAAGTACACTTATTTTCAGTGGTTGTTTTTGTTGTTGTTTTTTGTATTAAATAAAGACAGTTCACTTGCTCTACTTCATGTCCAGTCTCTTTCTTTCACAACTCACTCGAAGCCAAAAAATTCAGATTTAATCCATGATACATTTCCTTACAGAACATTCTGTTATTCTGTTAAACCAACCTGATTACGCTGAGGGAAGTCAGTCCACCTGAGTATACTAAATAATAAGAAAGTGTTTTTTGTATATTTTTAGGTTTTATTGGGTGAGACTGCATACATAGATTCCAACAAAATACTATTTGTGCATGGGTAGGAATGTTAGCTTTTCTTCTCGTTGTACTCTAGTAGTCCAGTGATATAGGTTTTTACTTTGGTGTCATGGTAGTTTGTTTGCAGTGACTCAATTCATCTGATTCATATATCATGCTGGTGGATAGCTCGTGCAACATGATATCGTTCTTCACGATGTACTGGTCATGAGACAGAGTCAGACTAGTGCTCTCATATCTGACTGTTCTCCTCTCATTAGAATAAAGTTTGTATTTACTGGTCTTGAATCAAGTACCTGACACATCACAGAGACCAAGTAGCACCTGTGTCCATTTTTATGTATCTTTTATGACACATGCAACAATACCTTCGAGTTAAGTATAAGCTGAACTGACCACTCATCCGTAGATTGCTTGGATGTGCTGTACCATGAAGTCAGCACAGCTCATCAATATAGCCAGCTAGGTTCCCAGTCAGTCAACAGTCCACTAGCTGGTCAATATTCAGATGACTGGATGGTCCAAGTTTGTCAAGAGACATTGCATTGCCATGAAAATAACCTTACCATAAAGCAACCTACTAAATCCTTCAGATTATTTTTTCTAGGTCCTCCTTGAAATTGATGTATTTATGCGCTTTTGTTCACCACTCCTCACCAAACCAAAGAAAGTGACCCTTTTCAATCCGTACTAATCTCGAGATTGTTTGTGATCTGGATTCTCAAGTGGTCTTACCCTGCCAGGAATTGAGCCACCTAGAGCTTCCTCAGTCACAACATCATTCTCAAGCAGCTTATATTTCATCTGTTGGAGCAACAGAACTGTTAAATGGATTAAATCCACCAGTTGGATCACTTCAAGTTGTATCTTGGATGTGTCAGACCAATAGGGGATGATGCAAACTGAAAATTGACCATTAAATCATCTCAAACAGACCTCTCTTCATGGTCTCAGCATGTTCAACGTCCCATGGCTGAAATGTAGTCCCATTACTAGTTACTTTTCTTCCATTCCTGAATGTCCTGGTTGACTGATGTTTCCAGCAACCATGAATAACCCCTCTAGTTGATGTTGAGCAGTCACTACCAGAGAATAGTAACAGAGAGTGCAAAGCACCCACCAAATGCCAGAAATTCTTCATTACATAAATTGTGATTCAGTGAATTTGCCTCACTTCATTTGTTTGCAGCCTAGGTTCGTCTCTTCTGATTGAATGGATGCATAAAGAAAAATATTATTATTTGTGATCTAAAAATAGAAAACGATGATAAAGAAATGGGTAAGTGATCCACGGGAGCTTGATATCAAGTTACATCTAACTTACCTGTGGTTGTAGTATTCCTACCTCGTAACTAAATTAACAATCAACCGAGGGATTGAGGATTTTACTATAAAGGTATTTGGTTAGGTAAAATGCAAATAATGAAAATATACTGTATGTGTAAAAACAAACATCTTTTCTTCACGAACAAAAGTTTCAAGATTCCCTCAGTTGTACAACAGAAAGGAGGTTTTTAACAATGTGTAACAGGTGAGTATAGGCGTATGGGCTTGATTTTGACTGGAGGGTGGGCAAGCAAGTTCTGGCCTTAAAATCGTGTACTATACGGCTTAAAGTCGCTTGATAAAAAAATGGTTCCAATGTATTCCATGCGGAACCATACCGCGCTAAAGGTTTAAAAAGGTGCAAGTGAAAATTACACATGGGGGAGGGGTAATATATTTTCTGAAAAGGCAAAATCAATTTTCAAATGTAAAAGTTATAGATATGTATGGAGCTTTTGCCCAAATATTTTGGGTGATTTATGCCCGAAAAACTATTTGGACCAGAACTTGGGGGGCAACTGCCTCTTTGACCCTCGCTTCCTACGCCTATACAAGTGAGAGACTATTTTCCAAAGAAACGATAAGTATAGACAAAGTGAGAATTATCTTGTTGATTGTTGTCTGGAAATGAATAGAAGGGAAAAAATTAAAAGCTTATACAAAGTTGCCGAAACAAATATTTTTTTTCTGAAACTCAAGATAAATTTGAACAACAAAAGAAAAACATACATTTAAGCAACAGCAGAAATGTAAAAACAAAAAACAAACAAAATCAATTAGAACTAGAGATTTTTGGCCATTTTACTTCATTTTGCATAACAAAGAGTACTTTCAGAGGAGCAACTCCTAGGAAAAAACCTCATTTCGTGTGCAATTGTGCACTAGCACAAAAGAGGCAAACATTTGCCACCACACCACCCGAGCTCTCTCGCAATTGTTGTTTTACAGGTGTATAATAACAGACTTCTTATTCTTATATTATGTCAACCTGAACTACAGAGAATAATTAGAAAAATATGCCCATGAAAAATTATGAATAGTCTTATATAGCTGCATCATAATGGCTGCCAGTGTATATGCTATACAAAGTCTAATACACCAGTAAAAGGCAGCCATCATTAAAGGCTTCATTTTAAAAACTTATATTAAGTATTGGTACTAGTTCATTTTCAGTGTAGTTCATTAATGTACTTCTTTGCAAGCAAAATAGAAACGTCTACATTAGAATATTCCTTAATAAAGGTAGATGCTAAGTATCATAAATTTATCCAATATTTTTCCAGTGAGTGGAAAAACAGAAACCGTACTATTAAACAAAACGAAAAAAAAATATTATAAAATATATAAACTTTCATCAGCAAGTATCATAGATACAAATAATTATGAGAAATACGGATCTGAGCTCTCAAAGATATTGAACAGAATTTAGAATTGAAATAAAGTTAAAATGAAAAAACGTAAATCTATGGAGTACCTGAAAACCACAAATGATTCTAAATACCTGCACTTTTTCGAGAAAATATCACCTTCGTGTGTTTGATACTTAAGATGTTTAACTTCTATAACAGCTAAGCTGGTAGTTATAATATAAAGTAGTTATAGTAGAATTGTATTCAACGTCTAACAAAAAGTATATTTCTTTTTTTCACAAAGAAAGAACAACCCTGAAGCTCACTAAATTTGAGGAGATACATGATCCTTAGAGGGGCATAAAAACTTTTTTTGTCTTTAGGAAGCTCATATAGTTTGAAACCGAATCATAGGAAATTCCGCCTGCTGTTTTTGGTTTCATGGAACCGAGTATGAAGCCATTAAACTCGTAGCACGAGCTGGTAATGAGTCGTGGCATACATCTCCTGCCGCGAGACCATACCACGTACAGTAGTAAAGTGTTAACCACGTGGGGATTCGTCATTCATTCTTTTCTCTAAACTACTAAAGCGAGTATGATGCTTCATCCTGCCCACCACTGCGGGCTTTTATGACTGTTACTGCTCATCAGAAGCCAAATGACACATTTCCTGTTAGTACGTACAGGAAAATACAAGACACTCTGAAAAAAAATCGTTAGATATGTTCCAGTGAGTGGAAAATCCCGAACATATTGCTTTCGAGCACGGTCTCATACGGAAAAATCGTGCTTCTCAGAATTTATTAACTTATTTATTTAAAATTTTTCGCTTGAAAACTGTTAGAGCTAGATAGATACATTTATAGTTAACTGCTCTCTCAATATCACTTCCACGAAAGGGGCAGAAGGCTGCCTGGAGGGGTCACCTGTTTTAACCATTCACACCACTATACAGTAATTTGTTGTCTGTCAGTCATTCAGTAGGCACTAAAATGACGTCACATAAGGGACGCTTAACGTTGCAGTTTCTACTGTCGTGATACAAATAAAAACGTGCGCATGTCATGAATCACGAGAAGAATTATGCACTCAGAATAACTATTTCTAAAAATAGTGAAAAGTATTGAGGAGATACATGATCCTTAGAGGGGCATAAAAACTTTTTTTTCTGTCTTTAGGAAGCTCATATAGTTTGAAAGCGAATCATAGGTTAAAATGATGATAGAAACCGTGCACTTTTAACTTCTATATATATATATAACCTATATATATAGGTTTACTATATATATCCGTATTGATTCATTACGTTTACCCTAAACAACTTACCTATTATAATTCCATCGGTTTTATAGTTTATACCATATCAACTACATGTGAATCAATATGTAGTTGATTATAAATATTTTTTACTCTTAATTTTGGTTTTATTTACTTTTGAAAAGAACACTTTCGGGGGCCCTGGAAAAGTACATCTAGTATATATATACACTTTATACACTGCACATATGAGATTTTATGCATATGCGGATCTAGGCTAACATTCCAAATTATACCATCTATATCATTGAAGCACTTATACAGTACTATTTGCAAAATATAATAAGATCATAAACTTGAAATAAAGTTACTGCGAAGGTTTTCCGTATATGATGCAATATAAGGTAAAAAGTTATTAGCAGTATAAGGTTTTTCGTTTTACTAAATCATACCTCCATTGGAAATGCGGTGTTATTGACAGTATGTTCAGATCCCACAGTATCGTCCTTCCCCCAGTGGAAATACATTTCAGACAGTTTATATCTTGTATCGTTTAAGAGAGGACCACCAATGATATCTGATCAAAACAAAAGAAGTATATCCTAACTATCTCTTCAGACTTGTTATAAACTTTCCTGAAAATGTTAAGAGTCGACTTTCACAAACAATATGTACGCCATGACTGAATAAAATTTTTTCCATAAATATTTTTCAGTGTTTTAAAACAATACCACAGGAAATATTGAAAAGGACATTTCACATTTCATTGCGTTATCATTTAAATGTCTGCCTAAGTCGTGGCACGAAAAGATCGTGAAATATTATCTGATTCTTTTCGAGCTACTTAATCTACACAGTAGGTCAAAAACAATCAAATATAAAGACCATACTATATTGTATGCTATATGTTATAGAAAATTAATATGCTCGGTATTTGAAATCTAAAGAAGCGATTATTGTAGTTTTTTCAATATCTCTATTCAAATGATCGTGTTTTTACAAAGTAGAAAAATAATGAATCTAAAAATGCATAATTAGGTGATTCTTAAAACTGCTTATAATATATATATGTTTCTTGAAAGATTCACAATATGTTACTTGATGCAATATAATTAAAAGTCCATTACAAATATATTGAGAACACAGTAACTAATACAGGCTACAAACTGTGAGAAGTCTTTCACAAGTCTTTCTATAACTTAAGTGTTACAACGTTTGTCTTACATTAAATGTTCATTAAACTTGTATTTTAACTTCACTTTATTTTTGTTGTAAGGAAAGGAAATCCACTGTATACTTTACATAAAAGTCCAGAGATACAGCTTGTGAGTTGATTATTTATTTTTTATTCTTGTGACTTCATAACAACGTTTCGGCCACTCGTGTTGTCATTATCAGGTAAACTGGACAACAGTTTACCAGATGATGACCACACGAACGGTTGAAACACTGTTATAAAGTTAAAAGAATAAAAACTAAATAGTCCACTTACAAGCTGTATCTCTGGACTTTTATTCACTTTATTCTACCGATTCATTACGTTTACCCTAAACAACTTACCTATTATAATTCCATCGGTTTTATAGTATATTCCAGAAGCGACATAATCCACTCACAAGCTGTATCTCTGGACTTTTATCCACTTTATTCTACCGATTCATTACGTTTACCCTAAACAACTTACCTATTATAATTCCATCGGTTTTATAGTATATTCCAGAAGCGACATAATCCACATTTGTATTGAAATTACTATTATACACTTGGAAAATAAATATTGGAATTAGTACAATATCAATTACTTTCAAAACAACCCTTGTTTATAATTTATTAAGACAAATTGGAAGTTTTGGGGCAGTGTAAGAAGCCTTTTCACAAATTAAGAAAATATTTTTGGATTACTCTGTTTTATATTTATAACAATAAACGAATCTTTTACAAGTAAATCCCACATTTATGAAACCCAATTAAATTACTTATCCTTTATATGCTTCCCTCATATTACTGGTTCATGTACAAGGAGTGTAGGGCTTTGGTATTATTCAGAAGAATGCTGTAACAACTGGCATGCCCTTTCCAGTTTGAGAGTATTATGTAATCTCTAAAATTCAAAGGTACGTTTACAACCTGAAATTATTTAACTTTTTCATGTATTTTTTCCTTATTTGGTCCAGAAGATTTTTCAGCTTTGGTTTGATGCTGCAGATGGACCACGTTTGATTTTATTACTAGGTATACAAGTCTGTTAAGCGACAATTTATTATCCATTTAATCATCTAAAGTTTTAAATAAAATTAAAACTAGTTATGAAATTATATATTTAGTCGTAGTTTACTTCAAGAACTACCAAGAGAATGGATGCAAACATTTTATAAGATTTTGACATCTTTTTTTTTAAATTTCAATTTTTATTATTCGTTCTTATTTTGTAAGAACGTGCTACAAAATTACAACACTTTTTATACCTCTCAACTAAGATAGTCACCATGGTTACAGTTCGTGATAAAAAAAAAACTTTTTATCAATTGAATAGTTTGATCGCCGCGATAAATGTACTGAAACTTTCTTCATCAGAAATTTTCAGATAATTATAGAAAGAAACTGAAGAAACTAATTTGATAAAGTGCCAATTTATTTTTATAAATGTAAGAGGCAAGTTATTATTTTGTAACTAAAGAAAGAATAAATTCTACAAGCTTGAAATGTTGGTTCGTCGAGATAATAGTCAAAAAAGTGAAATTATGTGTCCATCGGTATATAAAAGGATCTTTCACAAAGCTCTGTTTTTGTTTTGTTAAACATCGAATGATCATTAGTCTATGATAAATCAGATATTCAAAATCCCAAAGATCAAACTCCTTGTTCGATTATTTCATTCTGTATAGATAAAGAGATATCTCATTAGCAATTAACAATACAGCCTTTCTATTAGCTAGCTGACGTTAACTTGTCTAGACCGCTTTTTGAATCAGAAATAACAAACTATTGAAAGGGGGTTTGAGAGAAGAACTTGAAATATCTATAAATCTTCATACAACCATACATTAGTAATCTTCTTCTTTTCTTTTTTGATCAAAGATGAAGCTCGTTTGTTTGTTGTTGTTTTTTAATTTCGCGCAAAGCTACACAAGGGCTATCTACGCTAGCCGTCCCTAATTTAGCAGTGTTAGACTAGAGGAAAGACAGCTAATCATCCCCACCAACTCTTGGACTACTCTTTTACCAACGAATAGTGGTATTGACCGTCACTTAATAACGCCTCCACGAATGAAAGAGCGAGCATGTTTGGTGGGACGGGGATTCGAACCCGCACCCCGCAGATTGCGAATCAAGCTCCATAACCACCTGGCCATGCCGGTCCAAGATGAAGATAAAATGGTAAATACGCAAAATTTGAATTCATATACTTATATGTGTGTGTGTGCCTTTACAGCAAAACAAACACAACTGAAGGAAAAACTGCAATAAAAACTATAGGTAAAACTTGGGCAATATTTCGTGAGTTTGAGAAGACCATGATGTAAAGACCATAAAAAAAACTTAAAAAATGTAAAAAAATACGTTATTTGAAAAACATTATACATTTATTATTACGTCATTGAGAAAAAATAGCCAAGCTAGTTAGGAAATATAAGGAAATTTATGTATAATACTCACATGACTTGTAACTAGATTGGCTGTCATTCGAGCTACCTGCGTGAAATGAATTACAATGAATCACAGTGTTATAAAATATATTATCATTTGGAAGATGGCTACCAATACTCCACATGGAGTATCTTGAAAACAAAACATAAAGTGTTTTATATATCCTTTAAAACAGCTGGTTAACGAGGTTCTGGAAGCAAAATGGTGACTGTAGATGCTATTTCAGAAGTATCTATGACATTCTGAACCCTTAGTTTTGAATTACGTCTGTGAATAATTTCTAGAAATAAGGCTAACCAACTGATTAATTAATACAGTCGAGTTGTCAGGAATTTTATCATCTTGTTATTAGTTTTCATTATCTTTCATATTTTTGTTAAAGCTATTAAAAACGATCGTAGTAACTAAACGTGGATCTATGGTTACATATGTGGATAGTTGTTATCATTTAAGGTTACATATATGGATATGTGTTATTATTTATTCCACAAACAATTCACTGATGCATTTATATGAGAGCAGAATATGATCATAATTGATATCTGTCTATCTATTATTGTAGGTGATAAGCAGCAAAATAACCTTATTAAAAAATTTCAGCAAATAAATGTACGATAATTTTCAAAAGATTTGCACACCAATATTCAATGGCTTATTTCCTGAAATAATTCACTAACTTAGTTATGATTATTTACAACTTGTTTTCTTTGATTAGAAATAAAAACCTACAAATCACAAAATAATTTCATACTCTGACAGTTCTCACCAGTACAAAGATTTTACCAAAACAATCACGCACCCTTTTTTCTACAGGTAACTTTTACTAATCGGTGTTTAGTATTAGGATACTATTGTATACACGATGGAGTTAACAAGATATTTTCTCCCCTCTGCATCTTTCTAAAACTTAAAATCCTGACATTTAAGTCTAGAAAAATTTTAGATGTATAATCTGGTTTAAAAAGGAAAGAATATGACAATATTCTACAATCCGAATATTGGGAAAATTTACTTGATAACAAATGGTGTTTATGATGTAGTGATTCACCCCACGATAGAATACAGTAGAATAACCTGCAAACAAATAAAAATACCTTGAAATAATGGCTTACAAACAAAGTACTCCTATACTGGTTGGTAGGCACAACTTATTTCATTGCGTGCTGCTCAGTATCAGTTCTAAAGGGATTTTACCATTGCTTTTTCACTTAGTAGTAGTTTCCCGCCAGAAAAGAAAAATCGTTTAACAATTAGCAAATAAAAACATCTAAAGTCTCACATGGTGGGGAAACGTTTAACGTAGGATAAGGTAATGCTAAAAGAAAAACAACTGAGCCAAATATCATGGCCAATTACATAAATTGTTAGATCAAAATGATGTTTACTGCTTTCATTGTATGTTTGCATTATTCGGTAAAACAGGTTATCAGATGTCAAAAATAAGTTTAAAATAATTTCTATTCGTGATAAAAAAAAGTATACCTTCAAACCCACGGATGAACTTTAACAACTGCTGTCATGATATGCACCACATGCTCTGATTGCAAGAAATATTAAATATATTTTCAAAGGTTTTTTTTTTCATAGGTACACTGACTCCCATTTAATATCAGTTCGTGCTCTTTTCACCACGAAATTAACATGGATTCAGTGTTTTATAGTCTCTACAATATGCAGGAAGGTGTCTTGTCCGATTGCAATTCATTCGTCGAGTAGTCTATAATTGGATTGCAGACCTCAATAGAAGGTTACAGTGGCGAATTTAATGTTCAAGTTCATCCTTAAAAAATGGTGAATTAGGTTTGCGTGCGGTGATTCTGATGACAAAGGAGGTTGATTAAAGTCCCTGTTAAATTCTTAGAATGGAGTGATTGTGACAGCCAAGAAAGATGCCTAAAGTCACTGTTATGCTCTTACAACCAATTTTGGACATACAAATGCGATGAATTATTGTATTATTGTTTTAAAAATAACTTGATACATTAGTATGTAAATTCAATATTGCGGACTGAACGTGATGAGGAACGACGTTCACGTACACACTGGATGTTAGAGCCTTTCTAAAGGAATTAAAAAACTCTACTCCTGTCACAGAAACGTTCCCCTACTATTAAAAGATCATTAGAAACTTGTGCTGTTTAAATAATAGAAGCAAGAATACATGCCTCATATTATTTTCTCTAATGTTAGTGTCGAAAATGATGAAGCACTACTCATCATCAAGCGTTTCCAATCTTTCTTTTTACACGGTTTAACATTCAGCACCACTGAAGATGTAACTTTTCAGATAAATGGATTTCGAGCTGATTGCAGGCTGCCATGCGACAATGTTTCTAATATCATTCACATGATAGGGATGAAGATATTTGAATTTTTATCATCGATCAGTTAGGTCTGACATATGCTGCAACTTACAAGTCTGTTCAATTGTCTCTTCCCTCAATCTGTCATCAATGGCTAGTGGCCATAAGTTTGTAGCATCAGGAGTTGAGACTTGCAAATACACGTATTATACCTTCCCACAATGTTGTATATACTGTTTTTGTTGTTGTTCATGTTTACAAGATTCTTCATTATGTATAAGTTCTAGTTCCGGCTACAGGTTGTATGGAAAATTTAAAGTGAGGAGTTACTCTCTATAGTAGAGCCAATAGACTCGGTTTTCTGATTGGGCAATTGCAAAGATAATGTGTTTTTTTTAGGGTACTTTCAGCAAATATTTTTCTTGATTTTTCAGGACAGCGGACTTATAGTAGTTTCGCATGGTGTTTCTCACACCTCCAAATTCTTTTGGAGGTGAGTATCCGGGAGTAGGGCTAGCGTCCTAGTCCGGACACCGGGTGAGCATGTTTCGGTGACTCTAGATTTTTAGAGTTCAAACAATCACTGACACATCCTATGGTAGTCACTTGTACACCTGTTAATAATTGTAGCATTTTACAAGCGTGAAGGAAGGTGGTACTAAAGTGATGTTTCATTACACTACATAAACAAAACATTTTTAAGTTACTTTATCTAATTAATTTATATTTATTTACTATTCTGCTTATATTATCATCCGTTATAGTAGCTCTTAAGGCACTTGTACATTTGGGGTTTATATGATTTATGTCCTAATACAATAATAAACATAAGTTATATTAATTCTGTCTTATTAATTTTCAAGTAATGAATGAATAATGTAATGAGTAACTGATAATATTTTAAACAATCTCATAGGAAAACAAATCACCACAATACGAAAACAACTTAAAAAATTTAAAACTATCTAACGCCAAAACTAAAACCTGATTTGACACAAAATCAAACCATTAAACTGGAACATTTCTTCAGAACATCTATATTCCAAACATTCAGAAAAACAAAAACAAAGAATACTTTGTTTCAGTTAACTAAATTACACTGTATTACAAAACAAGTGTGTTACAGGCAATATTTTACTTTAGTGTTACTCTAATAACTCAGTAAACAGGAATTACTCCTTCACATACCAGTAGGATGTTGAAAGATAACACGTGCAGCACTCCCTGTGTTCTGAAGAACACATTCCCGGCATTCCGTGTATCGAAAATCAAAGGGTTTGTGAATATCTAAAGGTCTGTACACAGCGTCTCTAGATATCAAGTTGACTGGAGATTGACAGAAACCCGTGTCACACCTGGTGTCTTCTTCATCGTATATTAACGACTCAATATCTGTAAAAAAAAAAAAAAAATATACATATCACCACCTAAAAAAATATTTGGAACTTTTTTGCTCTATACGTACAGACAGATACCTTAGCTTGCTTCTGTTCCATTAAATATTTTACTCATTGAAATTATAAATAAATGTGAAATGTACTAGCAATGTTTTTTTCGGAAAACATAATTAAATTACAAAGAACAACACGAACGTAATTACGTGAAGCATTTAATAAATATTTCGGAATCTTCAGAATTGCGCTATCCACCAACATTTTACAGAAACAGGACATCCAATTTCTCTCTCGTACTTTACAATCCTATCAGTAGCTAAGTATGAAATTGGACGTCTGATAAGAGACTTTATACATAATAACTCTTCTCCCGTCTCTAAATAATACACATTTGCTTTAAACCTATTATAATGTGCTTTAGAGATTTACATGTGACTGATTCTACCAAAAAGTCATTAAATGAAATACTTCTAGAAGCAACTGTAATAAGCTAAACGTTTCCTGAAGGTTGCATTTAAACTTTTTTTAGACTGTTGGACGAGGAAAATATCTGAAGACTAAAGCGCGTAAAGAATTTGTCCGTTTTCTATATAAAGAGGCAAGTATGTGTAAATCAATATGCATTTGTGGATGGTGTACATCTAAGCTTGTCTGATATATATTTCCTTATAATGAAAATTTACAAATTAGTCCTTTTATTTTGCTTTTAAAGTTAACATTTTCCAAATACTCGGGAATAAACTATATGTTTTATGTTGATGAATGTGATCATGTTAAATTTACCGAGCTTAACACTTGCCAAGGTAACTTCTCAATTTGAGCATAAAAGTGACATATAACAAGAAT